GGCGGCCCACTCTCTCTCTCTCTCTCTCTCTCTCCCTCTCTCTGGGCCCCGGGGAGGGGGATCGAGCTCATGCCTGAGGGCCACGGGATCCCTCCAGCGCAAGGGGGGGGATCCCTGCCAATGTTCCCTCTAAGTTGTGGAGTCTGGTGAGCAAAAAATCTACTCTGTGAGCTACGGGCATTCAAATTGTGAGCCAGCGCTTTGCCTCCTGCATACATTAGTTTGCTCTGGAGCCACCTTTCCTGAGCGAAGACAAAAATCTGTGAGCTGGAGGCTAAAAAACTGTGAGCTGGCTCACACTAACTCAGCTTAGTGGGAACACTGGTCCCTGCATGTCAGAGGTGAATGAGGGTGCCTCTCCTCCTCCTCCCCCCCCCCGCCGGTGCTGCTGGGCTGGAGTCGGTGGCCACGCTCCACGGTCCTACTTGCCTGCAAGTCTGCTTGAGTGACCAGCAGGAACTGGCCGAGGGAGCCAGACGCCAAGTACTGCGAGGCTTTGCCCAGGACCCAGTAGCAGGAGGCCTGGCTGGCGGCCAGGGAGAGGGACAGCAGGGTGGAGCGGCAGCCCGCAGGAGGCCCCGGGAGGTGGTCGGCTGCAAGGGAGGAACCGCCAGTCAGTCACAGGCTGCCCGGCAGAGGGAGCAGCGGGGCCGAGGGGGCAGCGGGGCCGAGGGACACTCACCGGTGCTCCCCGGGGACCAGGCCTCCAGGCGCCGCAGGGAGAAGGCCAAGGGCGGGAAGAGGCCCTGAAGGAGCCAAGCCGTGCGGCTGCTGGCCGCGCCTGTGGTCTGGGGTGGCGTGGCCACGCACTTGTCCGTGAGGCCGGTGCCCAACGCGTGGCAGAAATCTGGTCCGGGAAAGAAGGCGGTCTTGGTGAGCCCTGTCCTCTGCCGGGCACCCGCTCCCCGCGGTCCTCACTGCCTCCCAGGCCAGCGCTGGCTCTGCCCCCACCCCAGCTGACCCCTCCCAGACCACGGGATGTCCAGCAACCCAGCCGCCCATGCTCAGCTGTCTGCTGACCTCGGTCCCAGCGCTGGAGGGCCCCGCGCACCAGCAGGCGTAGCAACAAGCCCCGCAGCTCCTCGGTGCTCTCTTGGGGGACGCCGGCTGGAAGCAGAAAGAGAGAGGCAGACAGACAGTCAGTCAGACACCGGGGTCAGGGGGGACAAGCAAGGGCCTGGCCCTCCAGGGCAGGGGGGGAGGGTGTCACGGCCTTGGCT